TCTGATGTTTTTCTGATCAAAATACTCACACAAGATGAAGGTTGAATAATATGATATGAAAGAATCACTTTCTTATCTGTTTCTCTCAATGTAGAACCTTATAATCAAGTACATATAAATTTTGATATTTATATGTAGGTCAAAAAATAAATAGGTCAGGGAAAAAACCTGTAAAATGCGAAATAAAAATTTCTCGAATAAAACTGTCGCTCGAGCGAACCCTCAGCGACAGTCGAGCGACAGGCTGTCGTTCCCGCGAAGAAGGGGCAACAGTCCTGCGAAGAAGGGGCAACCATCTAGCGATGCATTTTCTTTTTTGTAGCTCGAGCCAACCTTTGACGACGGTCTAGCGAAAATTCGAACTGTTTTCCTCCTTGTTCCAAACTCGAAACCCTAGACCTATTTAACTTATTTTTAAACAAATTGCACATTACTCCTTGAACTTTTACAATATGTCATTTCAGTCATTTTGTTCACAGAATTTGCTAATTACAAAATCAACTAAAACCTAACAAATATGAATGAAATGGATGTATACAGATCAATCAGACAACAAAAAGTAACTTGCAATGCAAAATTAGACAAGTATCACCACTCAAAGGGACACAACAAAGTATACAGATTGCAAGTACAGAGAGCAGGCAATTTATCCAAAACAATACAATCACAAATTGTATTAGAGGCAAAAAAAAAAAAATATATATACACTGATTAATCAAGCTTATATAATCCTACATAATGATTTTCAGAAATCAAGATTATCAAGAATCTTGACTGTGATCCAAGTAATCCTCAAATTTCAGATAACTCTTGGTTTCTGGATAAAGGAATTACAAGGAGTCAAGAGTTCAGGTTTTTCAAAACCATAAGGCAGAATAAACTACACGAGGCAGAAGAACCCAAACAAGACAGTAAACTCAACCTAAGCAGAAAACTCAAACGAACAGTAAAACTCAATCAAGTCAAAAAAGACCCAATCGAGTCATAACACTCAAACACAAAATACATCTTGATTTACACGTAAAAAAAATTCAAGAAATGGAAAGATCTCACCAAAACCCCTTACTAGGGTTTTGAGAAAACACGAAGAGTAGCTCAGATAAAAGTCAATGTCAAGATCGAGTGCACACAGTATCAAGAACTCTCTCCGAAGCTTTGAAATCACTATTGGGAGGAGATCAAACTGATTAGCTCACAAAATCAACTAAAATATATATGCTAAAAGAAACCAAAATAAACTGTAAAAGATTAACACAAGAAACTGAAAATAATATGTAGCTTTATTCATAAAGGCCATCAAGCCAAATCACAAACTACAATGCTTCTATCTCAAGAATAAACCATCGTTTATGCTCGAATCAAGTCCCAAAGTAGAAATACAAAAGTAGACACTCAGATTAGACCAATATTACACAAGAACAAGATCTCTCTTCAACTATAGCACATGGTTCACACAAGAGCCAACACTCAAACAAGGCAATCACACAAGATTACACACTATTGAGAGAAAACCAAAAATCAAATGAGTATATTTGATTTCTACAGAAGAAGAAGAAGATCTCGAAGAAATGGCGCAGCAGATGAGAGAAAATGGAAGAGTCTCGAAACCAGAAAAGTGAAGCTCTCAAACCCTAGAACTCCCTATAAAAGAGTCTCAACAGTTACCAATCCAACGATATTGGAGGCGACACATGGTGATATCCTGGGCGTCCATATGATAAGGTAAGTTAAACGCAACTTTAAACCATGTCTCAAACAGGTTTTTGCACCAAGTAAACATAACAAATTTTATGCTGGTCTTCAATTCCAGCTGGGCCATCTCAATTAGGCCCAATGGCCTTTTGTATCTTTGTGCCATTTTTCACTTCAGATTCCAATAGAAAGACCTCATCTTTCGCAATTGATCTTATTGAATCATTCATTTCTGAAGATATGGAAAGTTTGCTACTGTTTTTATGATTAAGAAGATGTGAATGTGAAGATTTTACTGTATCGCTTGAGGTGAAGATGGAGCAATTTCCACTTGTAAGCAAAGAAAGGCCATTAACATCAGGAAACAAGAAAAATAGCAGTAGAAACAATGCATCAAAATTTTTTGTTATTTCAAAACATGGATTTGAAATCCTTTTCTAAATTCTTTTAAATTAAAATTAAACACTTTTGGAGTATGGTTGTGGACGTGTTGGGAACATGGGTAAAATGTAGTGGGTTAAGAAGCATTCTAGGGTTTTGTTCAAGAGGATTGGGTGGGAGATGACGGAGGATATATGTAAGGATCCATTTGCCGTAAATCACATCCGTAGATATGTCGTTGCAGACTTGGAAGCATTACCTGTTTGACTGACTCAAACCTTCCACTCTTAGCAGATTCCTCAGCACTCTTACAATCTAAAATCCACCAAAAACTAAAATACGCTACAAACAAGTATTTTAGGTGAAATCACAAAAAAAGCTAGAAATTGAGAAAGATGAGCAACCGTTGGTTCAGTGAGGAGGAACTAGTGCAACGAGAAGGAACAAGTAGTAATAGGTTGTAGGTGAGGGACGGACGGACGGACGTGTCAGAGTGACTGCAGATCGGTATTTTTTATTTTCTATCTTTCAATAAAAGAAATTAATTATTTTATTTTATAATTACCAATGAAAAAGATACTTCGAGAAAATTTATTTGAGAATGCATCAACCATTTATAATCTAACCATATTAAGCCCTGTTTGGGCTCCACTAAAATGAGGTTTTAGGAAGACATATATTTTGAAATAGTGATTTTTTGAGGATACGTGGTTAAAAAATAAAGAAATTTTTTAAAGTTAAGTTTGATATTACTTTATGAAAGAATTCGTCATTGAAAATGAATTTTAAAAAATGAAGCCCATACGTGCTAAAATTTAAAACATTGAACATCAACTTCTTTATAGAGTAATAATAGGGAAACAATGCAAGAAGGGTGTATATTATGGTCTACATCTTTATTTACATTATTTCACGTGTCATTATTTTATTTGATAGTTAAAAAAAAAACTATTTTTTTCATTCACATACAACATATTTTTTGACAGCACATCAAGTGTCAACATGACTGAACATAATTGATGTACAAATGACACTACCTAAAAAAATGTTATCTTTAAAATATGGATAATGTTACATGTATATCAAAATTGATTGGCTTACTCTTACGTGAGTTGACAGATTTTGATACAATGATCTTGATAACATATTTTTCAATTAATTGTCAAACTTTTGACATATAAGGAGGTATCGATGAAACTGTACAATTTGTGTGTACAGTTTAATCCTTATGAGTAATATTATTAATAATCATGATGATGTGATAACCGATAATATGACAATCTATTATTCTTCGTATTTCTCTATCTCCTCCCTCTTTCTCTCATTAAAATTGAACTATTTTATTTCATTATTTCATATAAATTGTCATATCAATAATATTTCATCATCATAAATAAAAGAATAATGCTTCTCTCACAGTCATT